GTTCAGCAGCTGGGCACTCAGGTGTGGGGGGGTCCCAGTCCCTCATTAAAGCCCAGTGGTCTGTCCCAATTAGTCCCAAAGGCCACAGCTGCCTCCCCAGTCTGGACTGCACGTCCTCCCAGCCAGCCCTGCCAAAGGGGGGAGGGCAAGCAAGTTTTAATAAGAAATAATCAGTCTGCCTCTCGGGTCTGCAGCTGCAATTCCACATTTGTTTCCCCAGTTCTTCTCTAAAAAAGTCTGGTTGCAATTTTCAGCAGCTTTAAACAATTTGTTTAATTGGAAGAGCAAAAGCTGCCCACTAATGACAGTGTAATATAGAATAGTTTGGTACCGCAACACAGTCAAATGCTTTCCCTTAAGAACTGCTCTGCTGGCTAACACTTCCACGTGCCAAAACCCACTTGCATTTGTTCCCACAGGGCTGGATGGGAAGTGGGTGCAGGAGGGAAGGTGGGGCTGCGGACTCATTTTTGGACCCCAACACAGAACCGTGCTCACCTCTCCCCTTGTCACCCCAAGTTCTCTTTACAACACCCAAACAGACACATTCATTTGGACCAGACTATGTTTAGCTGTAAGGAAAAAAGATTCCAGCTCCAGGGCTGAATCCAGGGCTTCCTCAGGCAGGAGCTCTGGGCAGATGTTTTAATGTTTTCCCCCAATAACTTCATGCCAAGGAACCTCCTCCCTCAAGCGACAATTACCCACCACAGGCGCCGCGGACCCTCTTACCAGCTTCTGGGTGAGCCCCGGGGGAGCCCACTCGTAGGTGATGGTGTCGAAGGTGGGGTCTTTCCGGGAGACGATGGGGTTGGTGATGATCATGCGGTTCCTCTTGTAGATGCGCAGCCCGTCCCCGCCCTTCACGCGGGCGGTCAGCGAGGCGTACCTGGAGCCCGACAGCAGCCGCCCGATCTTCCGGTCCTCCTCCACCTCCGAGCTCAGGCTGTGATCCTCCTGGCTGCACTTGCACGACTTGCAGATCTTCCTGGGGGGGACAAGGGAGACCATCACCCCTGGGATGGCAGCTGGGTGACAGGGGCCATGCCGGGGCTGGGCCACGGAGCACCTGCCTCTCCCAAAGGCGAGCAGCAGAATCCAGCCTGAGCACCAGTCCTGCCTCTTGCAAAGCTCTACATGCCCCTGAACAAGTGGCTGCTAAGAGAGGAATTGATCCTTAAGTTCCTATCACTTGTATTGTAATAGCTATAAATCACAGAATGGTTGGGGTTGGAAGGCACTTAAAGTTCATCTAGTTCCAACCCCCTGCATGGGCAGGGACACCTCCCACCAGCCCAGGTTGCTCCAAGCCCCATCCAACCTGCCCTTCAACCCCCCAGGGATGGGGCAGCCACAGCTTCTCTGGGCAACCTGGGCCAGGCTCTCACCACCCTCACAGTGAAGATTTTCCTCTTAATGTCCAACCTAAACCTCCCCTTCCAGTTTTAATCAACTACTCCTTGTCCTCTCACTCCCTGCCCTTGTCCCAGGTCCCTCCCCAGCTTTCCTGGAGCCCCTTCAGGCACTGGAAGCTGCTCTAAGGTCTCCCTGGAGCCTTCTCCTCTCCAGGCTGAACACCCCAACTCTCCCAGCCTGTCTCCAGAGCAGAGCTGCTTTAGCACCTCCAGACATGACAGAGTCTCTAAGGCCACTCTGCTGGCCAGCACTTCCATCAAATGCTAACAGCAAAGGG